GGGCATTGAGCCATGACAACCGGCTCAGCCTTGGGCGCTTCATGGTGCTGCGGATAACACGAGAGTTCGGTCCTTCGAGTGGCATCCGAGGAAGTTCTTTTCCTTCCTCGTGGCATCTCATGGCCAACTTCAAGCGCTTGGACCTTGGGATCAGTGCCATTCAGGGGCACAGTAGAAGCCCTGACGAGGTCTCCAAGGTGGCCCTTGGCGAATGTCTCACCTTGGAGAGATGCAAACAGCTAGGACAGATCTTCCACGCCTCAGAGAATGCCAACTACCAGTCCATCCGGACCTACGGTCTGGTGCTGGAGGCCACAAAGGCCTCCTGGCAGAGACACCGCAAGGCCATACGCATGGCTCCTCGTTCCACGCCATAATGGGACGTTGCGTCCTTCATGGCCCACGGGTCATGAGCTGTGCTTGATCGACAACGGCGTGGTGCACCTTCACGGCCGGGTGGACGCGCATAAGGCCCAGCAGGAGAAGGAGCTCAACGAGGTCCTCCGAAAGGCCAAGACGAAGCCGCTGCACCTTTTCAGCTACCGGCTCCTGCACCGCGTCGACAGCAGCGGCAATGAGGTGTACTACAGCTTGGAGCAGTCTGCCAGACGAGACGCGTCGCCTTCTTGGAGGAAATTACGATTGGGCGAGCTCGATGATGCATCCTTTGTCTGGCTATTGCTTACACTTCTTCTTGAAAGCCTTTGAACTCGCAAAGCTCGTTGAGTTTCTTCACAAACCCGCCAAATATACCAACGGTTACGAATCTCCTTACGAGAAATACTCGAACTGTTCCCTGAAGGGTTGCCAGAAATGCTCGATGATCTTACCAGAGCTCAGAAAGCGGAGTTTGCCTCCAAAGTCTCGGAAATTGGGTTCCGTCGTCCTGAGGAGAGAGGACCCAAGGAACAAGGAGCCCAGAGTCGATGATCCTGCTTCCTCCAAGGAAAGGCATGAATACTTCGAGATCGAGCATGTCAGGAGCGACTTCTCGATTCTCGTCGGTGTCATCTGTGAGGCCTATGGTCAGGACTTTTT